TGTCGCACTGTGTGCTCTGGTCGTGGCAACGCGTCCTGGGGAATTAGGAACCGAGCATGTCCAGACAGCATTGGGTTTCCCTGCCTGTCGCCACACTCGCCATTATGAAGGCTGGCTGGCTGGATCAGCATTGGATTAGCACGGTGGTAGCAAAGGCGTAGCCTTCGCTGCCAAACTGTCTTTGCACGAGCGCACCTACTATTTCCACATGTCGTTTTGCCGTCGGATGACCCCCCATGTTGCACTATGGTGATTTGGACCGGGAGAAACTTTTTGTACTCCAGGTCCTTACACACTTCGGGGCCTGGGAGCTTTGACAGGAGTGCGCCAGTCCGTCGGTCTGTCAGACGCAGCTGGCCATGATTGGAATGGTCGTCCGGATCATGTCTGCATGGCTCAGCAGCAAGGCGAAGCGGCCGAGCCTCCGCCAAGCGCCGTGTCGCATGTCAATCTCAGTACTCAAGTGCGGTGTGCAGTTGTGTCCCGTGTGGTGTGGTATTATTATGCCGTGTGGTACTTGGCTGCGTCGCCAATTTCGCCGTGCCTGTGGTGGTCAATTCAATCTCGGTCATGAGCCCATCAGCCCCTCTCGTCTCCATTTCGATTAGCGCTGTCCGGGCAAGACGGGCTGCAAAGTGCTGGGCGGTTTGGGCGGGTAAAAGCTAGAGACTTCTGACCCTCCTGCTCCACCGGCGAGCGACTCGACCTTCGGCCACCACGCCCCAAGCCTTGAGCCTCGAGCCGTTGGCCGCACTTGACCGCACTTGACCGCACCCAGCAGCCAGGAGCCGGGAGACTGGAGTAGGAGCCCACCCAGCCATGTCCGGTCGTTCCTTCAGTCCTGAGTGCGGCGGCGCCTGTGGCCATTTTTTTTTTATTTTTTCCCTTCGCCCTTCTGGCCCACCCTCAATATATTCCATCCAACTGCCCCCAGCACCCTACTCTTCTTTTTCCCACGTTCTGGTTATTGGCTTTTGCTACAATTTTCTCGTCGGTTCATCTGACATCTCGTCAGCTCTGCGTCTTGGCCGCTTTTTGCCCATTGGGCATCTGCAGCTTGCGTTTTTCCTCTATCGACGTTTTGCCTCGTGTGAGATCGGCAACGTCACAGTGCTTGAGTGACGTGCCTGTGGTCTCACGTTTATTTTTCTGCCCCAGGTCGCCCGTGTAACACCAACACTCCAACCAGCCGACTGTTCAACGCTGCTGCTGCCACGACTGCTGGGATTGCCGTCCTTTTTCGTATATCGCTACGGCGCCACCCTCCGACAAACGTCATTTGGAATCCGCCAAGGATAGTACAACCACATCCTTCATCTCACCAAGGCGACGCCACTGGACTTTTTGAGCCAAACGAAATCGTCTTGTGCTCGTTTTCTTTGGGAGGTAACTCTGTACCTCACAGCTAGAAAGAAAAGACGGCACCTCACCTGGCATCAAACACCCCCCTTGGTGTCTTATAAATCGCCCCGACGACACCCTTTGATTCGATCCATTCAGTTGTTCGGCTCCTACTCCTTGGAATATGTTGGCTTTCCGATTATAGCATCCGGGTCCTAAGGGCCACCAAATTATTTATCAAATCCTCACTCTTGATAGAGTGGAGGTCTGCACTGGCTTGTAGACTTCGTCTGCGCGACGCAAGACTCCCAGCAAATCTACGACCAGAACTGTGCTCACTACTAGCTCCTTCTCCCCTTGGAAGAGGGCAACAACTTCGCTCAGTATCGACTCCTGGTGTGTCGATTCTATACCTTGAGGTCTTGTTTCCTTGACATTACGCCGCTCTCCTACACACTCCGTTGTAATGAGCAAGACCCATCGTATTCGTTTACTCTGTCAACATTCGAACTCAACAAATTATATACGCTCACCATGGATATTACACCTTCCACTTCACAGATTCCGGCTTGGGTGTCTCTGACATCAGAGGAAGCTGAGGACGTTGATGAACCCCCAGAGCTGCATCAGAAGTTTGAGAGAACTTGTATTCGACGTCCTCAGGACCAATCGTCACTTCTTACCAAGGCTATCATGGCTGAACCAGAGGAGGTGCCTTCACATCCTGCTCATTCCATTCTCTTGGGAAGTCAACGACGACGATCCATGACCAGCAACATCAGTGTTGCTTCCACTGCCGATCTCACTAGTGATACTGGTATGACGAGCCCCTGCCGCACAAACACTCCCAGTCCTCCAATCCCAGAGATGGCTGCTCTTCGATTGCATAATGAAATTACCACTGCGGAGAACGAACACCTCGCCGCCGCTCCTCAGCCTCCCAAAAAGCGATGTATTCAGTTTGCATGCGCTGCCAAACCACCCATTGCTCAAGCTGAGGCTATGGTGAAGGCACCGTCTGCAGAGCAGGCTCCTGGACGACCATTAATCAAGTTTGCTTGTCCTGTAGGGCCGGCATCAACTCAAAATACACCTCCAAGGCAGATCTCTGATCCCGGCACACGACCTCATTTGCCTACGAATTCCGAGTCACCATCAACTCCTAAAAAGACGTCTGCTCTCTCTACTGCACTTCACACGTCGCCGCGCCCATCTGCCGTTCATCGCCTGTCAAATAAGACTACACTTGCTCGACCGAAATTCCTCCGTGCCAACTCCAAGGACCTCGCAAAGGATAGCTCCCAGTTTCACGAATTTGCAAGTGGTACAGCTCGCGAAGAAGATTGGATTAGGCAACCTTCATCAGCGGTAACGAGGCTAACCATTTATGACACATTGACGAAGGAAAATCACTTTCGTCGTCTCGGAGCCGAAGCCGAAGAGGAGGCAGAACTGGAAGAAGAGGAAGCTGAAGCTGGCTCAGATGAAGACGAAGAGGAGGAGGACGACGAGGAGAATGAGGATGACTTGGAAGAAGATGATAAAAAAGATTTTCACGAAGATTCTGATGGCTATCACACCGACTCTGAGACTGGCTTCGCCGACTCCGATGAAGAAGACGAGGAAGAGGATGAGAACATGGTTCTCTGGACTCCTAGTCATGCCACTAGCCGTCAGATCCAAGTCGTGGCTCCCATACGACGACCATCGGTGAATGAGCCCCAGTCTGATTCCTCGGCCGCTAGCTATGGCAGCCGATCAAGCACTCGACGAGCTAGGCCTCGACGTATCAAGGCTGAATCCGACGCACCAGATCTGCCAGACAGCACCGATTTCGTTTGTGGTACCCTGGATGAAGACAGACCTCTAGAAGAAGCCTACCTCTCTTGCTTGGCAGCTCGCCGGAACGAGAACTTACGAGTCATTCCACAAGATATTGACCCCAGCTTTCCAGCTTCTGATCCCGATAACGACGATGAGGAGGAAATCTACAACCCTGTTCACCACGACAGCGATGAGGATGTCTGGGTTCAAGGTCGGATGGAGGATCTCCACCATGGCCAGGACCGCTCCCGAAGAAGAAGAAAGAGCGAACAGGCATCGCCTCGCAAATATCGCTCCCCGCCACCAAGACGACATCATTCCCCTGCTCCCAAGAATCGAGGTCGCTCTCCTAAGCCATTGTTTGGGCGACATTCTCCCAAGAGAATCCGGTCTCCAGCACCAAAGGCGATGAACACTCCGTTGCAGACACCACGACAAGGCCCTCACGTTCAGTTTCACTTGGCTGGTCGACCAGGCATGACGCTGACAAAGTCTTTGCCTCGAGCTCCCGCACTGTTTCCACCCATGAAGGGCAGTAAGACGGCCAGGCACCAGCATCACCATGACTCTGACTGCCACCTCCGAGGAGCTATTGACATCGTCAAGGGTCTTGAACGCAAACGTCAACGCCGCAAGGAGAAGTTTTTCCAAAAGTACTGCAATCGCGCAAGACGTGGTCAAATTCCAGAGCGCAAGCCTCTGCCAGGGCGAGGCGCCGAGCGTATGAAGGAGCTCGGTTTGCTCATGGCTGGCAAGAAGGAACAGGGCAATTATGTCATGTCTATCTAAAGACATCACTACACTTACTATGCTAGTCCTGGCCATCAGAGGACTAAATCAAAAGTACTCAAGGTGTCTACGTCCCGTTTAAAAGCGCCAGATGGGCGGAAAGTCTTATCATATCTTTTTTCTACATACACTTGGGTAATACATTTCATTTTTGTTCCTACGTTATGACTCCACGACTCTTTTGCTGTACATATTTGGAGCCAGTTGTTTCAGGCCTCTTTTTTTTCATCCTTTAGGAATCGCTTGAAGTGTGAGTACCTTTGTATATAGTTTCACTTTCTCACCACAAATGAACTTGCACATTGGTCAAATTTTTTATGTTTTTGGAGACGGCATATTGCAATCGCTAGGATACCCTTTGCGAGAGAGTTTGGGCGCGGGGGAAGGCATTTAGATAGTGGGTGAAGTCTACACATCAAAGACAGAAGGGTGGATATTTTTGAACTTTTGCTAATACAGTATTATTGGCTTTGAAGGACGTTTGAGCATGCTGAGTAAACAGCTTCCTCGTGCTGAAGTGGCATGTTTGCCTAGCTGGTGTGATGACAAACATACCTGGGAGGACTCTCGGCACCAACACTGTAGTAGTTTGGTTGGCTTGATTGAAGAATAAGACACCCGTACTCCGTATCATGAACAACATTGAATTAATAACATTGGGCTCGGGATGCCGGGACAACAATCCGATGACTGCACTTGAGAGGACTCGAGTTTGTGTGTGGTTCACCCATTCGTAGCGTTGATTGGTCGCGCGCCACCTCTACAGTTGAGGTGCCACTTGCCACGGCTCAGGGAGCGGCGACCTAGACTGTGGCAACATCTGTGCCTGAGGATCCAGGCACCAAGAGCCTCTCGTCAGGACACCCTTGAGTTACTTCCAGGTAGGACACTACGCATTTTGGTGTGTTTCTTCGGCCCATCACGTCCGCAATCCAGCATCAGTTTTCGACCCCAAACATCATTTTTACGATCCCAAACATCATCTTTTCGACCTCAATCATCATTTCAACTGGCCCTGGAAACACGATTCAGAAATATAGCCCACCATGTGGATCATTAACTGGTGTATGTCTGCAAACATCCCCTTTCCCTCCATCTTCTGCCTGTTGCCTCTGTCATGATGGCATACTAAATCTCCGCGTCTTTGGTGACCTGACTTGTCCTAATTTTGTGGCTGCTTAGTTTACGATGTTCTTTCCTCCCTTGGCCTGTTGAACAAGCACGCCAAGCTACTGTTCCTCGGTCTTGATAATGCCGGAAAGACGACGTTGCTGCATATGTTGAAGGTATGCCAAACTCGCGCGACATTGGTTGGGCTGCGAGCCCCCTTTCGATCAGTAGGATGTCGATCTGTTTTCGATCAATATGAAACCGAGGCTAGAGAATGGACACAGTGGGATGATGGCATATTCGATGGGTGATGCTAACGATGTGAACTGGGTAGAACGACCGTGTTGCCATCCTGCAGCCTACTCTTCATCCCAGTAAGTTCTTCCCCGGGGCAGCCAGAGGATGCGGCCCAGTGTGCGCTTGTTAGCTGCCACAAACGCGACATTTTGCTAATCGTACTGTTCTAGCCTCTGAGGAGCTTGCCATAGGCAATGTCAGATTCACCACATTTGACTTGGGTGGTCACCAACAGGGTACGTACACATCATGTCTAAGGCTACGTGCCTGCCTGCTCTGCGCTCTCGGAGACTTACCATTCTACTTAGCCCGCCGTATCTGGCGAGACTATTATCCCGAGGTCAATGGTGTCGTCTTCCTGGTAGACGCGAAGGATCATGAACGATTCGCCGAGACAAAAGCAGAGCTCGACGCTCTGCTGGCTTTAGAGGAGTTGTCCAAAGTTCCCTTCGTTATCCTGGGGAACAAGATTGACCATCCCGACGCAGTGTCTGAGGAGACACTGCGACATGAGCTGGGCTTGTATCAGACCACCGGGAAGGGAAAGGTCCCTCTGGATGGCGGCGTCCGACCGATTGAGGTTTTCATGTGCTCTGTAGTTATGCGACAGGGGTACGGCGAGGGCATAAAGTGGCTTGCACAATACGTGTAATGCATAAATAGGGCTGTGCAGCGAACACAATTATGTAGCGATTCGGAACCAATTCAATGCTTTTTGTTATGCACGAGGTATCTTGGTATTGTGCGGACGTAACGAGTGATTGATGAGTGTATACTTCTTGTTGGGCAAACATATCCTGCTACAGACTGTATTTAGTCCGGGGTGCATGTTTCGGATACCAACGACATAGACAGACTCTAATATGACGGCTAGGATGAACTATAACTGCGCTGTATGATATAATCGGTTGAGCGTGAGGAAATTGACCTTGGTAGTGTGCAGTCATGTGTATATACTAGCATGTTAGACATTGCATGCTGGTCCGGACAGCTTATTGATGTGATATTTTTTTGAACGGGCCGAAAATATATCACAGGCTATCGGATTAGACAGGCTGTCAAATTGAAACATGCTGTTGGAATCGAAGAGCTATCTGGTAATCTAGGTACTTCTATTCCGACTGACGGCCCTGTTTCTTGATGGATGGCCTGAGTAATTGTGATGATTGTCAACGAGTACGTAATCTAGGTTCTTCAAATGAGTCATTTAGCAGGGCCTCGTCATCTAGAAGGGCTGCCCAACTAAGCAACCCAACCATCTGCTACTTACTAGTGATCAATTGATGTATGTCTGGTTCCATTGATTGCCTGCGGTATAACAACAGTGCACGGGTGCTGTGGGTTCTGGAGAACCTGAGTGGAGTTGCCGCTGAAAGTCCCCCCAACGAACGCAACCACAGGCTGAACAGCAGACGTCATGGTCATTGGAATTGTGGGGGAACATTGGCTTCACCCTTCAACGTTCGATCTTGCAGCACAACATCTCATCGAGAAAGAAGGCACAGGCATCCAGCATGGGATCCCTTTCATGAGCTCGTATTCCGAAGCCATATGCCTCGATCTTAAACATCCACCATTGACAGATCGAGCGAGCAATATCGCAACGGCTGGCGGACTTGGCCAACCGGCGCGGGAGCGGACAATGCCAACCGATGCGGTTTACGGATTCCCACCGGAAGCATTTGATGCATCCCTCCTGCCTGACATCAATCGAGAGTTTCTCGAGCCACATGAAATAGAGGCCTTCGTAAAGGCGCTCCAGGCCCCTGACCCGTTGCACAGCCCAACCGACGAGACGGGCGGACTCAAGTCACCCAGGAGCGGTGCCAGCCCCGTCACCCTGACGAAGCGAAATTCACAAGCCTGTCTGGATGACGCGAACGAGTATGACAATGCCGACGCAATTGCCGCCGCTGCGGCGGCCGTTGGAGGTGAACTCCCAGCGCCGACGGCCACGCCGACCCAGGGAACATTCTTCACGGCCCAGAACGACTGGGCGCCCGTGAACCCAGCTCTCTACCGACGCCGTAGGTCGTCCAAGAAATTCAAACACGGCAAAGGCGCTAGTAAAGCTGTCCAAGGGCTCCTCGGCACACGGACCAAGGACGAGACACGGGAAGGCCACCTCTACCAGTTGTCCAAATGGCCGCTGTTGATATTTGTCTTTGCATGGCTCATAGGCCTGACAATTGCATATCTCTCAACACGATGGTACATTTGGGTCTACGAACACTTCTTTACTTGGCGCGGCCGACGGGAAACGCTCCGGAGGAACATGCGCAAAGCCTCAACGTACAAGGAATGGGTTGCCGCAGCGAAGGAACTGGATGCGTTTTTGGGACGGCAGACTTGGAGGGAGGAGAATGAATTCGCGTACTACGATTCAAAGACGGTCAAGCGGGTGTGGGATCAGCTGCAGAAGCTGAGGATCAAGGCTGAGGCACAGGAGGCTCAGAGCGCGCGGCAGAATGGCGAGCATAGGACTGCGGTGGAGGATCTCAAATCCCTGGTGGAAGCGTGCGTCAAGAATAACTTTGTTGGCGTGGAGAATGCGAGGCTATATAGCCAGACGTACTATGGAACGAAGAATTTGGTGCAGAATTTTATTGACGAAGGTGAGTTGATGGGGAATCCAAGGAAGGGGGGGTTGTCATACGGCCGCTAATGGAATGAGTCAACAGTGGAGAGGAGCGTCAAGCTACTGTTGCGAACGAAGCAGCTGGAGACCGAGGAGAAACGCCTGCTGTTCAAGCATATTCATGCCAATTACGGCCGCACTGCCTTGTGTCTCTCGGGGGGAGCCGGCTTTGCCTATTATCACCTGGGTTTGGTCAAGGCGTTGCTGGACGCAGACCTACTCCCGGACGTTATTACAGGCACGAGCGGCGGCGCCCTGATAGCTGGGCTTGTGGCCACGAGAACAAACGACGAGTTGAAGAAGCTTCTGGTTCCGGCGCTGTCTCAACGCATCAATGCCTGCCGAGAACCGGCAACCGTCTGGCTACCAAGATGGTGGAAGACGGGCGCGCGCTTCGACTCGGTCGACTGGGCTGAACGATGTAGCTGGTGGACCAGAGGCTCAATGACCTTTCGCGAGGCATACGAACGAACTGGCCGCATTCTGAATGTCACTTGCGTCCCTGCGGATCCTCACTCTCCCACCATTCTATGCAACTATCTCACCTCCCCCGACTGCGTCATCTGGTCCGCGGTCCTCGCCTCCGCCGCCGTCCCCGGCATCCTCAACCCCGTGGTTCTTATGATGAAGCTCCGGGACGGCAAACTTGCGCCCTATTCCTTCGGCCACAAATGGAAAGACGGCTCTCTCCGAACCGACATCCCTATCAAGGCACTCAACACGCATTTCAATGTAAACTTCACCATTGTCAGCCAGGTTAATCCCCACATCAATCTATTCTTCTTCTCGTCTCGTGGCTCTGTGGGCCACCCCGTCACCCATCGCAAAGGTCGCGGGTGGCGTGGCGGCTATCTCATGTCCGCCTTTGAGCACTACCTCAAACTTGACATGAACAAGTGGTTGAAGTTTGTGCGCTACGCAGAACTCCTACCCCGCCCCTTGGGCCAGGACTGGAGCCAGCTGTGGCTCCAGGAGTTCAGTGGCACAATCACCATCTGGCCCAAGTCTGTACCAAGCGACTTTTACTACATTCTGTCGGATCCTGATCCCGGCAGGCTAGCGCGAATGCTACACCAGGGACAACAGAGCGCGTTTCCCATGTTGAAATTCGTGACGAATAGGTTGAAGATTGAGCGGTTGGTGGAACAGGGGAGGAGGGAGACCAGGCCCTGGGTCAGGAGAGGCAGTATTCAGGCCTTTATGAGCGAGGAGGACTTGAGGAGCCTGCTGGTTGGGGAGATGGCGGGGGTGACGACAGAGGAGGATACAGATGGGGATGGGGAAGAGGCGATTACGCTGACTGCTGTCGAGAATTAGGAAGAGTGGCATGTGTGGGATGACGAGAGTGAGTCACTTGTTTCTGGCGAGCATTTAGACGTAGAATGGCCGCTCATGTAATTACTGGACCAAGGCGCAAAGATTTGTAATATTTGCTGCGAGATTTTGTTTGAGTGAAGAACGGTGCTATTGGATATCACGCCGTCTATTCCATACATGATGGTACATTGTGCGACATGCATTTCCTTTACAGCCCGTCAGAAACGCCGTCTGCATACAGAAGATGGCGTGGATATCAAGTATACTTCGTGTTCGCCTACGGAGTAGTACTTGGTAGTTGAATGCTAGGGGTAGGTAGTTTAACCTTTGCCGTGGCCAACACCAGCCCCATGGCGATGCAATGTAGTCTAGCGGCGGCTCTGCCACCAGACCCCGGGGCGCCAACAGGGGGCCAGGCAGCACTGGCACCACATGTGACGTCTGGACGCGGACGGACGCTCCTTCCCAGTTTGTGTACTACTGAATTGAACACGGTGGCGGCATTGGGGTCCGCTAACCAAGGTGGTCTGTGGGGAGCCACGGATAATCCGATCGCCGGCTCTGGTACTACGGCCAAAGGACACCATTTAGCACTTTTGAAATTGGGCAGACAATTCGATCCCCTCGTGCTTGCTGATGCTTCATTGAGGACAGCAAACGAAAACCCCTGCGGCCGCCTGCACCACTGCGCAAGAGGAGGGATTTTTTATAATTTTTTTGTTTGTTAATACCCACGGCTCCAAGGGCGCATTGAATTACGCCAAATCGTGCATTCGGGCGAGCTGCCAGATTGTCTGATCTTGTTGCCCACCCACACGAAAGCTATTACTTCTTCTCGCGGCAGGGTTCGCCTGCTCGGCCTTTGTCGCCACAATGAGTTCCGACTACTCATACGATGACCAGGTAGATTCTCACAAGATTACACCATTTCTTCTCTTTGCCATGCGCAGTCGACATGGAGCAGGATTGCGGCGACGCTTTGCTAACGCACCCCTCAGGCCCAGTTCTTCCCCTTCTTCATCCTCACATTGACCGGCCTGGTCACTCTCCCAATCACATACAACCTACTGCAGTCTAGCAAAGACGATTCGCATCTCGCTCCACGCATACAGACCGACTACAAGATTCAGCATGAAGACATCGTGGCGTCACTACGGGCAGCTCAGAAGAGGAAGCAGCGCAAGATCAAGAGGGCGCTTGTCGCCGTGGCCGGCTGGGCCCTGATGGGACTGATGGCATATTTGATCATGACGACGAATCCTGCCGAGCAGAAGCTTTGGAATCCCTACGATATTCTGGGCATCGCTGAAGTATGCGCCTCCCTCCTTCCCTCTCCTCCCCCTTGTATCACTCGGATGATCGAGTCAACTGACAATGCCTGCAGTCTGCCTCGGAACAGCAAATAAAGGCACACTTTAAGCGCCTGTCAATCAAGTTCCATCCTGACAAGATCCGACTTGATCCTGCTAAAAATGATACGGTCGAGTCTCTGCAGCAATACTTCGTCGAACTCACCAAGGCCTACGAAGTATTGACCGACGAGGATGTTCGCAACAATTATATTCAGTATGGCCACCCTGACGGCAAGCAGAGCATGAGCATCGGAATTGCTCTGCCCAAGTTTATTGTTTCCGACGGCAACGGCAAATACCTTGTTGTCCTGTACACAGGCCTTCTCGGCGTTTTGCTCCCATATC